TTCATAAAGCCAACAAATTACTACTCCTTTCATTTAATCCTCCAACCAAATTGATTCATCAATTCACGGCCCTTGATTTAATATTGCATGACTTTTTGTTTTGGTTTTTTTTTTTTTGGCCAGATGCTGGCAAGCGCGCAGTGGCACTTCTGCGCTGCTGTTGTTGAAGCTTTATCGTAGACAACGCTAATTAAAACAAAAGCTACTTCTGTGAATGTTTTTACATATAGCTATAGGATAGCTTTGTCACTGTCTCTCTCGCTATCTCTTCTGTGTTGTTGTTGTAAATTGTAATACTAACAAATAAGTGTATTCAATTCTCACTACTCAGACAGAACTTTTCGTGTTATGAAGAAAGACTGTGTTCTTTTGTATTTTGACCTAATGTATAAATGTGTACTGACATCGGATACGACAGATTTTGCGGACTGATGAATTCATTCTTATTCGGGACTTTTTTTTTCTTTTTTAAATTTTCGGCCAAAAAAGAAAAAGGGAGAGAACGAAGAGGGCAGAATAAAAGCTTTTAAATACTATCTTTCTGTAAATGTAACATTCTGTATTCGTTGAGCTTTTGGGCAAGGGTTTTAAAGGAGGAATTTAACCTTGAAGGATTAAACACATGCAATAAAGATCTGTGCATGCCCTTTTTTCCACCTTTAATTCGAGCTTTTTGTAAATTACTACTACGGTTATATTCACGGCATCATCAAATAATGTTTTAAAAATTACATTTGCCGCACTTTAATTTCTGAACAGTGAGGCGAAATAAAAGTGAAATATTGTACTTTTGGCAGCAAAGCCCTTTATCGTAATGGTTCACTGAAGTACCAGCACCCAAATATCGTATCAACTCTATTTATTTACATGCATAATTTGCTCATACTACTTTTCATTGAAGGAGCTGTATATACGACTACAACTTTTGAATAAATGATGCTTGAATCTAATTTAACAATGATGATGTGTTTTAGAGTAAAAACACTGTTCCTGTTAGCATTTCTTAAGGTAAGAAGTGGTTGAAGAAATAGCATATTGTCATTACTTTTACTCTTTTTAGGCATCAACTTTAAATATACAGTTATTATGGTCCAACGGAGAACCGATGGGAGTAATAAATAATAATGAATATCCATCGATCGGGTCTATACTCAGCTCTATACTCCTCATCCAACTATTTTTTGTCATTTCCAATTGATCAAACTTGAATAAAATTAAATCACATAAGCGTATCAAAATTTTATAAAGTGGAGTAATCTCCTACATCTTCCAATACTGTTAAAATCGCTTCTTCAATGACAATCGCTTTTTATGCACGTACAACAAAGACGATACCATGGATTTCTTTTGGATGTTGTTTCTGGTTTTTAATGGCCATACTGACCCATTTGAGCCATGCTTTAAAGTATTCATCGTACCAAAACACACGCTAGCTAAACTGCCATAGCTCTATACATAAATTTGGTTGCAATATTGAATGTACAATGGAGGATATCGAGCTAGCTACTCAGCTTCTAGCCACTCCCGAAATCAACCATTATTTAATTAATTCTTATCATATGCCAGTACGTAGTATAAGTAGTAGTGCCACTTAGTTGTTGTGTTGCATTGAATAAAGCAAATGATACCAGAGCCACTACTGCTTAGCTTTGTTCCTTGCAGAAAGACAGTAAAATAATGGCCATTTGGGAAAAAGAACTGCCACATTATCAATTTATCATCGTGCAATGTGGAAAACTTCAAAACAGAAAGAAAAAGGAAAAAGAAAAAAAGAAGAAGAAGAAGATATGTATGCAAGGCCAATATGTTTGGGGCATATCAAAGCCATTGCTCACTATTAGTAATTTATCTTACGAGCAATGATAGAGATATCAAAATTATTACTAGTAGGAATCCAAAATATAAAGGAAATGTAGATATTTGCTAGTTTTATACATTACTGATTAATCATTTTATTGAATGAAGTCATTCTTTCCGTTGTTACCCGTTTCATTTACGGTATACTAGGAAATGGATCAAAACAACATATATGATATACCCATTTAAATTGTGATGCTGCATGTGAAACTGTGGACGATTTCTTGGGTTTTGGCTAGCTTGGCTGACCAGGAACTGTCAATATGTATGGAAAAGAATTACGTTTTTCGAAAGTGTTCGCTAGAAGAAGAGTATTGTCAATGTCTTTTGTAAATGCATGGGAGTTTCGACTTTCAAGAGCATATCTTGGCGTGAGACAAACGTTACTTATTTTCAGTTTCTTCGTTCCAAATTTTATTTGTGTTTTTTGAAGACCGATTTTTTCTTCTAAGAATATGCGCTATAAGATTATATGTATATATATATATTGGTGTTCGCACTACAATCTTCAAACCCCTCATTGTTTGCTGTGATGAATTGGTATTTATTCTGTTTACTGTTTAGTCTTTCGAATATTGCACTGTTTTATAATATTGTACTACTACTAGTGCATATATATGATTTGACTTGTTAGGTTCAATGGTTTGAACTGATCACTTGACAGTATCAGTGAACTATCCATCCATCTTTGACTTTGGAAACTCAGAATTTTAGGCCTTCCACACAGTTTTCTCGTTTTGTCTTCTTTCCCCAATCTTTTTTTTTTTTTTTTTTTTTTGTATAAATCGATCACTCAAAATAGTGCATTACTAAATTTTTTTATAACAATTTTATTCTTAGACGAAATGAGGCAAACGTGAATTTTCAGTTTTAGCATTCACCAAAGATTTGATTCTGATGAATATTGAAATTTATGAGTACATATACAAACTCATAACTTGCAATTTTCTTCTCTTCTTTAATTCTGGATCAATGAAAGGCGCGCAATTGAACCTAATCAGTTACTACTAGCTAGCTAGGATATAACCATTACAGGATGCGTAACATTTAAGATGTCCTAATTCAAGGAGATTAATTGTGTGTATAATACATGAAGGAGCACATAATTAATTATGGTGACCAAATGGAAAATCTAAAGCCAGCGAAGTTTGATCTGGATGACCATTTCTTTATCGAGCAATGAGAAAATATGATGGACGAAAGAAGCAAACTTTAGCTTAGTAATTTTATAGCCTCGTACTCCCCCGTTCTAAAATTATTATTCAGTTTGAGATTTTATATTTAGTTAAAAATATACTAAAATTTAAATCTCAAACCGGACAATAATTTTGGTACAGAAGGAGTACGTACATGTTAAATCATTGCGATGTTGTATATGACCTCTTGATTTTATGTTGTTGATAAAATTGTAATGACCGGTTACATAATATCATCCTGATTCTTACAATTTTTTTTTTTTTTTAAAAAAAAACAACTGAACATACGCCAAACACAATCTACGTACATGGTATGTTGTTTGATTGCAGCAATCTTTTGATGGTAGTATAACGGAATAATTAAATCTAGAAAGATATATCCACATGAACTGGATTATAGCCAGCTGTAATAGAAATTATATTATTTATCCCAATACAAATTATATGGACAATAAAATGAAATTAACCGTATCCTCGTGTCAAATTTTGCAGAAGAAAAAAAAGAAGTAAAATCAAGGATACACAACGACATTGTACAAAAAAGAGCAAGCGTTACCCAAAAATACAAATACTCTATTTTATTTTATTTTTTTCCTTTAAGAACTTTTTTTAGTTTTGATTCTTTTGATGCTTAATTCAAACGGAGCGGTTACAAAGTTTTATTTTGAACTTATGAATGGGATAGTCCTCAAAAGTATAAAAATAATTTGAAATCTAATGCCCATAAAAAATTTCTCCCAATACAATGTAAAAATTTGAACCCTCTGATAAAATTCGAATATCTAAATTGACAAAACTTGGGAAAAGATTAGAGGGATACGGTCAAGTCAACCCCCTTTTTGAAGTTATTTATGTTTCTTTCCTCAATCTTTTCCCCTCACACATCTCAATCACGTGCCCACCGCATGATAAAAAAAAAAGAAAAAAAAAGAGTGTGTTATCCAGCCAGTTTCATTTATGTATTCCAATAAATGAATAAATTGATCTGGATTTGCTAGATCTAGCGACACATTTTCTAGAATAATTTCCATGATTAAATATATATTTCGTGAAATATTCAAAGTGCATTTTTTCCCATATTGTTAGAATTTAAGTGTATACATCCACCATACCAGTTATGATCATTAGTGTGGCGCACCAGACATATTGATCTTTTATACTCCTTCCGTGTTACAAAAATAATCCACATTAAGTTTTCAAATTTGTAATGCTAAAAATAATACGAAATTCAAAACTCAATGTCAATTACTTTTTTGGGACGGATGTAGTATATCTTAACTACAATGATGGAGTAGATCCGTTCAACTACCTGTGGGAATGCGATAGTATAATTAAAAAAAAACCATTATCAATTACATTTGCAAATAAAGATACTTTGAGCATTGAACCGTGAACCAATATTTTTTCATTGTCACGTTAAAGTTAATTATTAATGACCATTGTGTTTAGTTATGGTACATATACGACAGTTCGCGAAAATCTTATAAACATAAAACATGAAAAACACCACAATCCTACGTTATTCCCAAATTAAGAAGAATAATAGCGACAACGATGAACAAGAAAACAGCTAAGAAATGTATATTCACAAAATTAGATATGATATTATGTATGTTTATCCTAATGTCACTCGTGAACTGATATTTATGCGAAAAAATGAATTATATATATAGAAGAGTAAGAAAAAGCTTTTAACAAAAGGAAAAAAAATAGAGTTACGAAGAAAACAATACATTTAAATACAGGAGAAAAATATTTATCTCTAATTAGAAAAATTGTTTTCTGAAAAAAAGTAGAACGAGAGGACTAATGGGAGCTTGGGTGAATGTGCCGTTACATAATGCGGAGTATTCCATTTGGCTGAGCGCCAAAAACCCCTGAACCACTCCCAGTTTTAAAAATAAATACAAAGTCATTAAGGAAGTAAGAGATTGTTACAAAGAAAAGAAACAAGAAGAAGAAAAAAAAAGAAAAGCGAAAAACAAAGGGGGAAAAAAGGACAAGCGTGATAGGTATCACAGATAAAATCTCTGAATTGCATCCCTTCTTTGGTTTATTGGTAATACCCCCTTCGCCACCCAACCACAAAACCAGGCCCCTTTTTTTCCTCTCCCTTTCTCTCTTTTTATACAAAGGACAGTACTCTTATTCATATAGGCGATAGCCCAGAAAGGGGCAGAAAGATTATGTTATTGGGTCCAAGATTTGGATACGTCAACTAACACAATATGAGCTCCTCTTGAAGATAATGAGAGTTGGGTTCATTGTCTTCTTCTCAGAAGAAGAGGAGGATGGTTACTCTTTCTTCCCATTGTCAGGAGCAAGATATCCAGCTTCAAAATCTAGTCTTTCTTGATGGTCTGTTCTGTGAAGAGGAGCATTTTGATGATGATGATAATAATGGGGTTTTGGGATTTGGTGGTGGGGGGCTTAGTTTTGTTGATGGTGTAGAGAATGAATCAAATTATCATAAAAAGACTCGAACTTTATTAGAAAATGACCTGTTGTGGGAAGATGAAGAGCTTGTGAGTCTGTTGTGTAAAGAAAAAGAGGCTTGTTTTGGTGACTGGGAAGTTGACTCAGATGGGTTTTTGTTGGGGGCAAGGAAAGAGGCTGTGGGGTGGATGTTGAAAGTCGTTTCGCATTATGGTTTTACCCCTGCTACTGCGGTCTTAGCTGTGAGTTATTACAATAGATTCGTGTTAAGCTCACGTTTTCAGAGGGATAAGCCATGGATGAATCAATTAACTGCCGTTGCTTGTCTTTCCATTGCTGCAAAGATGGAGGAGATCCAAGTGCCGCTTCTTTTAGACCTCCAAGTATGTTGCAATTAATACCTGTTTTTATGAGTGTTTGACTGTTTATATTGGAATGTGAGACTTTGATTTACTGCTGCATTTTGAATGTCCCTCTTGGAATGATTACTTATTCAATTTAGATTCCATTTATGTTGTTAGGTGGAGGATTCAAAGTTTGTTTTCGAGGCAAAAACTATTCAGAGAATGGAACTCTTGGTTTTGTCCACCCTCCAATGGAAGATGCAGCTGGTGACTCCTCTTTCGTTCCTTGATCACATTATCAGGAGATTCGGAATGATGACTGATCTGAACTGGGATTTTCTTAAGAGATGTGAAGGGCTCATTCTCTCTGTTATTCCTGGTAAGGATTTTGAGAAAAGTCGCATTGTTTCTTCAGATGAATTAGAAAATTCTGGTGGAATGATTTGTCTGTTGTTTTAATGGTGTGGATTGTTTTATGATCAAATCATTAATGTACCTAATGTATGACAGATGCTAGATTCGTGCATTATCTCCCATCAGTTGTTGCTACTGCTGTAGTATTGCACGCAATCAGAGACTTTGAGCCTTGTAGACTAATGGAATGTGAGGAACAACTTACCAAGGCTCTTAAAGTTGATCAGGTGTGTTTTCTTTTATGTGTTTGTGCTACGTGATTGCTGCATTATACCGTAGTTTCATGTATTCATCGAGGATATTTGAATCATAACAGGGCAAGGTATCTGATTGCTATAAACTCATTGAGGAGATGGTGGAGGTTCAAGGAGGCAAGCATTACCAAGCTCTCAAGCGCAAGCTTCACCAGTCAATCCCTGGTAGCCCAAACGGGGTCATTGATGCTTATTTTAGCTCCGACAGCTCCAATGATTCGTGGGATGTGGCGTATTTGGCATCACCATCAAAGAAGCTATTCAAGAGAAGCAGAGCTTCAGGACAAGCTGATGATGTTGTATCTTCACTTAACAGTAATGCTCGTGAGTGTTGGTGATCATCATAGTCTCTTAGTCCTTAATTGAACTCATTCTCTTCTTTACGGAATGTGTTGGCAACCTTTTCATCCTATACACTGCAATGGTGCTATAAACTATTATCGCCTTTTTCTAGGTGTTTTTGGGGAATGCACTTCAATTAGTGTTTTTTGAATGATCCTGTGTTAAAATGACTTATCTTGCGATATCCATGAGATGATGCAGAGAGAACCTTTTGATGGGTGCTGAATTTTGAATGTGAAAGATTAGTAGTTTTGTACATTACTTTCTTGTATATTGTGTTGATTTTGATTGTTTCTTACATTAACAATGTGGGGGCAGAGCAATGCATATTAGAGCCAGGACATCCCTTTTCAACTGCAACAATGCCTTAGTTTCTTGCATTCACATGAGACATAGATTAAGCTTACAGTTAAAGTTGGTACAATCTAAGACAGGGATGGGTGTGGGAAGTCTTTGGTTGTTGTTCATATGTTCCAAAAATATCACTTAATGGAGTGACAAAGATTTCAATGTAGGGCAGGTTAGCAATGGACCTTAAGATTTATAACTAGTAAAGACCTTAGGAAGAAGGATTTCTTGGAGGCAGGAATAGATTGTCGGCCAGTGAATTCTAAGTAGTTGTTCCATAGACTTTTTGGTGATAGCTTTGACTTGTTTAGTAACAGATGTTTTTGTTTTGGAAAATAAAAACAGAACTTGATAGTATCATTCAAGTCAAGCCTGTATAACCTTTCCAAAGCAAGTAAAAGACTGCATTATGCTCTTATAATGCACTTTATTACTGCTAGCTAGCTCTGTTGTGTCTTGTGAAAAGCTTTGATCTAAGTTTGACTACTTCATGTGAATTAGAAGGTCATTTACACAAGTGTCACAGGAAGTAGTGGATTAGTTTCAATTTCCAATGTTTATGATTTCTCCCTTGAAATCAAATGTAACTACCACAATATGATCACTATGGTATTGATGTCGTTTCGGCATTGAAGAGTCAAGTTGTGCGCTCTTCTTGAGCCAATTGCATAGTATGCTAATGTGCTCTACAGCCAATTTTGCGTCTATTTGTTCAACTTTCAACAATTCACTTCTTGATGCCAAACTGGACCAATTTATGGCATAGGATTATTAGGTCAATGGGGTTGAATCATGAAATGTGAAAGCAGGGGCAATACATTAGTTTCCCACTAGTTGGAATTTGACCCTTATATCGCGTATTTACTTATCGTGCTACACGTAAAAAAATCAATAAGAACCCGGTATTATAAATACCGGTGTCTAAAAAATTATTTTTTCCGTTCCAAAATAAGTGTCATTCTAGAGTTTGCACACAGTTTAAGAAACACTTAAATATGGTAGTTAAATTACTTGAATATCCTAAACCAACCATAGTAAAATAAATGTTCACCAATAATATTATTTATTCTGAGGGTATGTTTGGAAATTTATGACAAAAAATGCATAGGAATCCGAAAACGATACTTATTTTGGAATTTCTCTATTTTGATAAAACGATACTTATTTTGGAATGGAGGGAGTAGTTACTCATAAAACCTAGAAGAAATGGGAGAATATTATCCTCATTTTGAGTTGTTGGAATTCAATTCCCAATTCAAAGAGGATGGGGGTGTTGGAGGATTCTAATCAATTGTTCATTAATGGAGCTTGTGGGGAAGACAAAGTTGATGGAAGTCTAGGTTCTGATTTTGGATCATGGCCTTTTCAGCTTTTAAAGCTATGGACAAGTAGAAAATTATAGCAAGGTCCTAATATGGCCCCAATGCTACAACAAAAGTTTGATGAATGCTTGAAATTTGAATGATGATGATGATATGCTGCAGCCTGCTAGTTTTTGATGGAACAGCAAAATGGTTGGGATATTGTGGGGGAAATGTTTTTCAAAGGGAACAGGTATTTTTGGGAATGGACCACCCTAATAATTTAGGAATGATATTAATAGTTAGTATAATTAATAAAAATAAATAAATATTGAAGTCTTTTTTCTGCCTGGCTTCCTTTTAAAATCTTTGCTACTATTTTGACTGGTCAGAGACTGACCACTTTGGGAATCCCCGGCTTACAGCCTTACAGGTTTGCATCCCTCTTGCCATTATGCCATATCACCATAGCATGCGCCATGCAGACGGATATACAGTTTTTATAATCAATCAGTATCGACTTGTCTACCCCCACGATTTATTTATTGTTATTATTTTCATCAAGAAAAAATCTCTCTAAAGTGCTGTGTGAAAATAAAGCTTTTAAAATGAGGATAACACTTTTCATGATTTCCTTAGAAGGATAACAACGAAAATTGTAATATCGTGGGTTGAGTGATTCCGTCAATGAACTAATAACTCTATTACGTAATGAGATTCTATAATGGATATGATTACACAAGACTCAAGCATTTCATCCAAATCAAGGGCGGAGCTACATAAAAACCTAGTGGGGCAATTGCCGCATGTTAATTTTTATTTTTTGCTAATTACCCCTTGCAAATTTAAGAAACTTTATATGAAAATATAATTTTTGTCCCATCTAAATTGAAAATCAAAAGGGCAAGTATAGTAAATTAGAAAATAAAAATTCTTGCCTTGCCACATCTTTGGGATTTGGTTCTGCCCCTGATCCAAATGAATAGTTTCCACATCTCCCAATATTAATTGGCAATTTCAAAATCTTAATTTGTCCTAAGAAAAAACATAACTTTTTTTTTCAGGTATGATATCCTTATTAGTAAGTAACATATGGGTGGGTTCCTATGATTAAAAAAAAAAGAAAAGAAGGAAGGAATATGAATAGCAAAACGCATAAAAAGAAATTGCATCATGAAATGTATGTTGTTTTTATGAAACTAAGTAAAAATGTATAGTGTACGTTCAAAATGCTTGGAGAAGTTTGTGCTAGTTAATGTGATCAGCACATTACTATTGGTACTAATATATTTTTAATTTTTTTTTGCGATTCAAAAAAAGCCTGCAAATACAAATGTTTATCGGTTCATCAAACTTTTCCAAAAAATTGTTGCTCTCTAACAACAATTATTGGTCGAATCAAATGCCTATTTCCCTTCCTCCATTTCAGGTTATATATGACATGGATTAGATTTGAATTGCATATCTCAAATGTAAGAAAGTCGTGATTTTTATACCACAAGAACGAATGTAATATGTATATACAGTATAATCAAGCTTAATACATAAAAAAACGCAAAATGTACGTATAATATGATTAGTATTGTTATACATTCACCAACCAACAGAGAACAATTTAAGCGAGGCAGAGATTTGGAGGATATAGCTGGAATAACAGCGAGCTCTTTTCTTTTTCTTTCTCTTTTTTTTTTTTTTTGTTGCTTTTGACGGTCAGTGAATAATTGTGGCATCATATCAGATCAGATCAGGTATAGTTATATAATGCAGATTGACCAGCAGCCTTGAAGGGTTTTCTGGTGGATTTTCTGCTCTCTTGTGAATTTGTGATAATGTTTCACCAACCTGCAGAGTTTCCCAAATGGAAACTGAGCGGTCATTTATACGAAACAAATTAATATTTCATAATAGTTGTACCTAAATTCTGACTCCAAATTTAGCCCAAAGCATACTGCATAGCAGCTTAATTATGTTTGGGTTTGTCCCACCTAAAGAGAGTATTAGAAATATTCTCAGACAAAAAAAAAATAAAAAATAAAATTGAACAATACACAAAATATTCCATCACCTTATGAACCATCTTTCGAATTGTCTCTGTCCAATGGTTGTGTTTGTTTTTTTCGATTGAATTATTGAACTCTTAATATAACTCTTTTTCATGTATGTAGTATTCTATCCGGGCATATTTATAAGGCGAAATTTATTAAGTCATGGAGACTTTATATGCAATCAAAAAAATTGTAACACCACAGAACAAATCGTAACAAAAATTGAAAAAAAAAAAAAAACGAGGAGCCTGATTCTTCTGATCAGTTATCTGAAATGAGTGTGTTATAAATTTATAAATGGAAAAGGAGAGCTATTTAATTATTTGCGGCCGGCAAGAGCCTCCTTGGCAGACTCTAAGGTGGAAACAATAGAAGCAGCGGCATTGGCCAGAACACCCCCACTGGTTTTTGATGGAGTACCAGAGTCTTCCGATTGATGAATGATCTGGGTGGGTTTCTGGGCAATCCCCTGACCCGCTGATGAATGATAATCTATTGTGTTCACTGTCCTCTCAACCTTACCTTGTGCATTCACCACCTCAGTTTCCTGCCAAAACACACACACACACACACACACAATTAAACCAATCAGCATTTGAATAAAATGCGAACCTAGAAGCTACACATTTTTGTAATGCTGAATCTTGCTTACCCGGTCAGCCTGCATGTTGATATTATTGATAAGTGGTGATTAAGTTACCTCTAGAGGGAGGTTAATTGTAGTTTTTGTGAATGTTTATACAATGTTAATTAAGTCCTCTGTGAAAAACTGAAATAGTTATTAGATATGGGGTTTATGCTATTTTTGTCCGAGGATTATGGCGTTGGAAGAGAGAAAAGGCCTTTCACAGCGACAAATATGAGCCGATTACTGCGTCTACTTGTGGACACATTCGTCCTTCCTATCTTACATTTGTTTTACCAACAAAATTAGCAATCCTAGTGTTTCACTTTTAGCCAAGTGTTTTTTAACCATTCTACAGTACAAATGACATTCGTTTTGCAGAGGAACATTCCAAAATCCATGACCATATCATCATCATAGTGGTGTGCTTACCCGAAAATCTGACACTTAACTTCCCTTAACAACTTGAAAGCCATGTTTTGACTTTCAAATTGTCTCAATCACAGTGCCATTATCCAATGAACTATTCAAACTATGTTTCAAGTAAATATTTCTCATTTCCTTCGCTGAACTGAGATCATGGGATATGATTCTAGCTTCTAACTGCAGACCGAAACAAAGAATTAATCTGCTTCAAATATTTTCTAATATGAACGTCATAAAGCCGTCCCTGCTGAACTCAATCAAGCCTGTGCTTGATCAAATTAAGGGGATGCATATAAGACAAAGTCATACAAGATACATTCCAGAATGTATTCAGGAGGAGCAGGTACTCACTAATAGTTCCAGCTATGATGATACACTTTGATGCAGAAGCAAAATGCGAAACACATCCTAACACCATTTAGATATCATGATGATAGCTTCCCACCACTAAGCTTACAACGGATAATTCCTGTATACTGTTCAAAATTCCACATTCTTCAATACAACAATCAATATGTCACCAGGGGTGATCCGCTGCAGTGAACATCAGATGCATCAGTGGTCCTCTGTCGTGGAGACAATGTCTTGTTTGCAGCTACATCCACATCCACATTGATAATGTTTTTCCTCTTTTGAGTATCTATTTTCAGCAGGTCTTCCTCCTCTTCAGGAATGGTATCCAGTTGTTCTACTTGCTGCTGGTTCTGAGAAATGATAGCTTGAGCTTCTGCGACCACTGAAGCGTCATCATCTACAGCATATAGAATCCTCTTTATAGCTTCAACCACCTGCAAGAACAGAAACATATGAACATGATGGTCTCATTATTGAATACGAGTTGCTCAATGTTTAAATGCTACAAACAAGAAGATGTACAGGTAGATTTTCAATTTCAGGGCTCTGGCATAGGATCTCGATATCCCTTAGCTTTGCAAAATAGAAGTCCCTCTCCTTCTCAAGACTATCCACGGACAGTTTCAGTTCTGTTATCTGCATTTGACCATGAGGTTAATAGACATGAGGTTAATAGGCTGAAATTTCCCAAATCGCGATTTCTTTCTGCACTTGATTGCATATTTTACCTGTTGCTCATACACTACTCGTTCTGCTTCAGAATAGGCTGAGGACCCAGAAGTTGAACTCGGCCTAGAGGCCTTAGCAGAATGATTTGAAGAGTTAACAATTGGAGCCTCATTTCTACGAGCAGTTTGAGGAGCATGCTTGGTAGCAGTTGATGCACTTTTAGCTGAGGTGTGAGATGAAGCAGATTTCTTACTAGTATCTTTGCCACCCTTGGCAACCTCTCTCCTTTCAAGAGCATTGTAACTGTTTTTGACATTCAGTAATCCATGGGAAAAAATTTTCGTTAAAACTCGCAAACAAGCACAACTTATTTTAGCAAAAAGTAGTTTTCAGATAACTACTCCATATGAATGGCTAACCTACTAAAGATCCTTCTACCTAGAAAATACTCAGTGGTATACTATAATCTAAGTAGAGACCAACACCTTCAAAATTACTTTTAGAACAATTGAATACTTTTTTGTTTGGGATCTTAGCTACTAATTTTTCAAGGTAATATGCAGGTTGATGCTCCAGGAAAAAATAGCTGGAGCTCTTCATAGACATATTGCCCTATTCTTTGTTTATCATTTATGAAGTCAATTTTAAAACTTAAAAATATCAGCCACAAAGAGCATACCAAGCTAGCTAGTAAACCTACACTGACCCACTCTGTAACCATTGAGTATCAAACCAGATAATCCAGTTCATAGAAGGATAAAAAACTTGTCAACAGAAAGGAGCAAATTTACTAGGTGACTTGTATGAAAGAATAGAATGAAACACAAACATTTAACAAAGAGGATAAATATAGGTCTAATATAACCTGCTCATGGAGCCACCATTGGCAGTGTCACAGTAACGCTTCATCCACTGCATGAATTCCAAGTTGTCCAAGGGCCTCCCTTTCACCAGCTTACTCACCTCAATGTGCTACATTCCACCACCAAAATCAACAACTTAGGATGGGAAAAAAATAATAATAAAGACCACAACGACACTCACAAAGAAATCTACAGTAAAATACAATAACAGGGAAACTAATCAGTAAATTTTTCATAAATAAAGATACAAATCTTATAAAACCCTTCCAGACTCACTTCTGCCCTCGAAATGCCCTAATTATCAGTTCACTTTCCCAATTATTAAGAAGAATAAGAAGAGGCATATCCAGCACAAGACCGAAATGGAAAGGAGCTAAGCTAGAGAGGCAAAAACCTTGGTGATTTTGAGCTTGTTGAAAACATCCTGAAGGACTTTGTAGTTCTGAATCATTTCGTACTCGGTCTTAGCATCGAAATTGACCTTGTGCATAGGCACCATTCCTGGATGAGCCGCATCCATTAGCTGGCAGTGAACTGCACCTCCACAAGCCTGCAAAGAAGAAACGGAAGCAAAAAGGCACATAAGAACGAATTTAACCATCGATTATCTCCCAATTTCAGAAGGATCTAGGGTTTTAATTTAGGGGAAACAGTGTAAAATGAGATGGAATTAAACAAATACCTCCTCGATTTTGGATAGATTGAGATGGAGAGTGGCGTTAATCCAATTCAAGAGCTCCGATCTTCCGACGAAGTAAGCTGAGTCCATCATTCCGATGTTCGTCGCCATTGTTTCTCCTCCGACTTCTTGTTCACACCTCTCTCTGGCTGTCTGCTATTTTGAAATTAGCCCAAGAGCGGGATGTTGTATTTTTTTATTCAGGTCCATCTGCCTTCGGCCGTTGTATTAATATAAGATGCGTACAGCTGTACATCTTCAAAGTGGGCTTCAAAAGGCCCAAACACAACCGGTCGTCTTGCTCCTTGCCCAGCCCATTCTGTTCTTAATGGTTTTTTTAGTATGGTAACCCAAAAAAAAAAAAAAAAAAAAAAATTGTATGGTAACCAAGGTTTCAAAGCTTGAGATTTTTCTATCATAATTTGCTGTGACCGAATTAAGTTAGGTTTTTCTTTTCTTTTTTTTTTTCGGCTCTAAAACGAATCTATAAACATAATTTCACATTATGGTTTTCTCACACATTTCAAAAGTAACCTAGTTTTGGACTGGAATGAAGTAACATCTTGTCTAAAAACTTAATTAACTGATGTAGATTATAACAATCTTTAGTATCGTAAAGTATTTCCAGCCATTATATTATAATTTACACTGTATTTGGTGAAGAAATAAAGTATTCTACAAGTATAAATAGAAGGAGACGGAGAAAGAGGGAAGTGGAAATCACTTAATTCACTTGAAATAGAAGATGAAATACTACAAGCACTAAATTAGCACATGTTATTCTGATGTTAGAAGACAACAACATCTAGAGTAGTACTAAAAGAAGTATGAACTTTGCAGGGGAAGAACCTAGGAACTCAATTTCTCTATCACTCATCTTCACAACCAAGACTGTCTAACAGATCAAAAGAAGAAGAAAAGGCCAAAAAAAAAAGAAGGAAGGGGGGGCTCTTCTATTTGTCAATCATTTCATAAATACACAGGTGACATCTCTCTCTACTTAGTGGCCATAGAAAAAAGAAGCTGAAGAAGAAGAAGAAGGGAACTTGTCAAGAGCTTGAAGGACTTCTTTCATGGTTGGTCTCTTCTGTGGAACTGGAGATATACAACTATACCCTACTTTCACCAGACTCAAAAATGCTTCCTCTTTGCCTTCTACATCACCTCTAATTGCCACGTCTGCCATTTTCAATACTTTGTTCTTCTCTTCGGCATCTAATGCAGTTGAACCATTCACTGGGCCTTGGCCTGGGCCTGTTTCATCTGTTACCGTGATTTTCCCAGTCAACAGTTCTAACAACACTACCCCGAATGCGAACACGTCCCATTTCGGGTTGGGCTTTAGGCTACGTAGGGACTCCGGTGCATGGTAAGGCGATATACCCAGCGCGCTAGGACTCGGGCTCGGAGTTGGTCCAAATGTGAAATCTTGAAAGCTCTCTCTCGAAGCCGTGGACCTCTTGCTGCCGAAAATGCGCGAAGATCCACCGGGTTTAGAGCTGTTTTCTCCAATCACGAGCCTCTCGAGCCCAAAATCGCCAATCTTGGGCTCCATATCTGCACCCAAGAGGATGTTGCTAGGCTTCAAGTTACCATGCACGTGCTTTTTGTCGTGGATGTAACATAGACCTCGAGCCACTCCTTTAGCTATCTTGAGCCTTACCTCCCAAGGTAAATGACAAGGTGAAGAGCCCGCTTTCCCTAAAAAAAAGAAAAATTGGAACAAAACAAAGATACATCCAAACACATTAGCCGAAAACAGAAGAAACACACTCATTGCATAACGTTAGGAATGTCCAAGTACAAATAGTTGTAGTCACCCTCACAGACATACAAAAACAATAAATTCACGATTTTTTTTTTCATTGTAATCGAGTAAATGTAACAACTAGGTTATCAAAATTTCAAGTTATGACTGATTAAAGAAGTCAATGTGAATTTAGCAGAAATTGCAAACACTCCAACAATGTTAGAACAAAAAAAGAAAAGTAATGGGCAGAGAGGCAAGTCGTTATCCATGCAAGTGACCAGTAGTGACTTGACGTTTTCACAATTACTATAGATCCCTCTATCACAATCAGGCCTTTTGTAGGACCATTTTGGTGAAGTAAATACCACGAGCTACAAGACAGGGTTGACTTGTAGGCTTGTCTCTCTAGATGAGTTTTGCGGTTTCATGTTTTAGTGCATTAAAAAGACAGGGGCTTCAGTTACAACTACTCCCACCGTCTACAATAAGGGAAAAGCAGTAAATAGGAATAAATAGTTGTATCTAATGCACCAAAAATCATACCACCAGTATGGAAAAGATTCCAATTCCATTTCATCAATTTGCAATAATTTTACACAAGTTTAATGTACTTTTTTGCTAGTATGTTTTTTGTCCAATCATGTGAATGGTCGTATAAGTTCTTAGCTGTTGTGGGAAAACTGGGAATTTGGTCATGAAATGTGGGAAGAAAAAAAAAATAATGAAAAACCATGGTGGAAATGGGTGTCTAAAGGCCTATTATAATTTACCCACATGACATCAAAAACCAGCCGTACCATTATACAAAACACAAAATGAATGCCTAAACATTGGATTATTGAACCTAACAAGCCGACCACTGTGCATTATTGCAGAAACATAAACAATTGTCGGCGCATAAATGTATGTGAAGTTGTTAATCGAAAAATCATCTTAAAACAAGTACGACGTAAGACATGATGCTTAGCTAAAGGTCTAAATTTTGTGTTTTGAGCACAAGAAAAAAAAAGATTGTAGACGTCAAGAAGGAATAATGGAATAGAGGACTTACTGTAACGAGCATTGGCCAAGCTTCCATTTGGGACAAAATCGTAGATGATTAGTTTTTCATCGACACCCCAGTAGAACCCACGAATCTTTACCAAATTTGGATGAATCAATTTAGCAATCACTCTGACTTGGTTCTCAAAATCTCTGAATCTGTCCACCCCACTTTCACCAATCCTACGGACGGCTAATGTTGTTCCATCTTCAAGAACAGCTTTATACATTATACTTGATCCGGTGGCGCCCAAAATGTATGCAGAAGCCTTAAGCAACGTTTCCAATTCCAGTTCTTTATCTCCATCAACAGTCACAAGTTCGCCGTTTTTGTGATCTTGTTGTAGATTCGGATTGTTTTGTGGATGACCCATTTGGGATTGGGAGGTTCGGTCGTCTTCCTCGGATTCCGAACTGTTTGCTTCCGATGATTCTTCACCGCCATTTTCGTCTCTCTGCTTTCTCAAACACGTCCATGACCTCAACCAACTGTATTCTTCCGAGTCAGATGATGCCCAGTCAAAGTCTTTAACGCTTTCGTTCTCCTTTTTCATGCTGCTTTTGATGCTTCTTCTTTTCTTTAACTGATAGACGTAAAGGAAAACCAACGCCAGAATTCCGATTCCGGCAACATCACCGACTACGATGCCCACAATCGTGGTGGTTTTCATCCCATTATTACCCCTCTGTCCGCCGCCTTGATTGTCGGAACCTGGCGACGCCGCCGCGGCGGGGTTTGAGTCAATTGTCTTGGGGATTGCTGCTATTGCCGGTGGGGAGTCAGGGGAAGAGGCATTGGGTTGGGTGGCAATATTAGAATGAATAGGACAAAGATTCTTCAACGGGGAACCGCATAATTCTGAATTCCCAGAAAATGATTGCGGGTTTTGGTTAAGGAAAATGGTAGAGTCAGGAATTTGACCCGTGAAGTTATTGTAAGAGAGATCTATGGTTGCGTTTGAGGGGAAGTTGTCACCAAATTCAGGCGGGATTTCGCCGGAAAATCTGTTGAACGATATGTTGAGGTAACGGAAATTACTGCCACCGAAGTCTTGCGGGAGTGAACCGTTAACAAGATTAGAAGACAGATCTAAGAACTCAAGCGAAGCAAACCCACTAGGAAGTGAACCGGAAAAGTAATTATTCTTCAAAGAAACGGCAGTCAAATTAGGAAGAACGCTTAAATTCCCCGGAATCACACCGGACAAAGCATTGTCGGAAAGGTTAAGAACCTGGAGCTGTTTCAGGCCACCCACAAGCTCCGGCAGCTCACCGGAAATCAAATTATTCGAGAAATCAAGAACCCTAAGCTCAGAAGCATGGAAAAGATACAGAGGAAGTGACCCATTGATGGAATTGTTAGAAAGGTCAAGACTTTTTAAGAAAGGGATCATACCAAGGTTAGCCGGCAAGGAGCCAAGAAGCTGAGAATTAGGCAAGGACAAATTAGTAACCCGGAAAGCCTCCGGCGAGCCTTGCTCGCCGCAGGTAACTCCATACCACGAACAAGGCGTATCACCGTGAACATTCCAGCTCTGTAAAACACCAAGAGGATCCTTAACAATGCTGTACTTCAGAGACAACAATAATAGCCCATCAATGTTTAGCCCAGAAGAAGACTGAACCGAAATGAGAAGCAGAAAAACCAGAATTTTCCACCATAAATGGTGATCAAAGCTTTTACAGAAGGAGCTCATGATTTTTCACAGCAATCCCACATCTCTCTGTATCTTTCAGAAAAACAAAAAAGAAACAAAGAAAGAGAAAAAAAAAAGGTGAGGGTGATGATGATGATAATGGAAGAAACAACAATAACTAATAAGAGATTTATGATATTCAGGGGACCATGTGAAGGGAGTTCGTAAGAGGGGGGGCAGCAAAGACGCACAGCTCACCCAAAACCAAACTTCCCTCACCAATATACTCTGTTTCAGACTTTCAGACTATCTTGGTTGTGTCTTAATAATATTTACTAATTAGTGGTACGACATAGTATTATCAATTATGAGACTGTACATTAATTAAAAATTTTAATAATCTCTTAGTTGTTGGGTTTGTTTCACTTTGTGCCTATGAAAGTTCACCAGCTAAGGACTAATATTAATTGAAAATTTTATCTCAGATTTGCAGAGTAGTCAGAGATTTTATTTAAGGGAGAAGAATAGGGCATCTTGGCTAGGTGACACCAAGGTAGAGTTGAAGCTCGGAAGTTGCAGAACCTCCTTACTTATTGACTTAATAATAATATAACAGAGAGGTCTTCTTAGTAATTAAAAAGCATTTTAAGATTACCGATGTTTTACTTTTGTAGCTATTCACATCAGCATGACCAGTGTTATCTTGTTTGCATTACACTAAACTCTATTATTACTTTTTTTTTGCTTTTTTATTTTCATAGTCACAAGGTAATCTTGAATAGATACACATCACGTTCAAATTAATTTTTCATTGAGAATGGTAAATTTTTATTTCAGAAAGTAAAATTCTGTCGACAAATATTTTTTAATATTTTAGAATTCGAGCCATAATCATAATTAATTTGATATGTTACTTTGTCATCCGGACCAAGTGAATGTGAGTCAACTTTATCATTACTCGCTATATGCATTATGTATTAGGCCATTGAGTCATTGACCATCTGGTCTAGTAGCCTAGTAGATTTTCTTGAAGTTTAAGGTATTTTTTTCCACTTTTTAGAGTACCAAAAAATCTGTGATTGAAGTTTAAGGAAACCCTTCAATAAATGTCAGCGGAAATGCAGTGGGAAAAGGGTTCTTAGTTACCCAAAAAGAGGCGAATTTGCATTGATGATTCGTTAAAGATGTGCAGTATGAAATTGGGATTATTTTGGCTGAGTGATGAGGCAACTCCGTTGAGTACTAAAATATGCTGCAATTTATTGGTCTGGCATAGTGTAATAGGACTTGAAGAAGAAGAAGATGTGGCATTCATTGCTGTCATAAATAACCCCAGAAATTTGGTTCTACTGTTTTCTTGGTTCCTCACATATCCTTTCATCTGTGTTCTGACCAGATAATTGAAGGCATGCTATCTCAAGGCATAAAAAGGTTGAAAGAAAAAAGAAAATTCATTTTGCGTCATTGCATGAGCCTGCCATTGCTAGATTCATTCTTGTGGGGGAAAACCTACAGTAGCATGAATAAATACTTCTTCCGTCTTAAAAAAAATTAGTTCCATTAAACCATAATGATTTACTAACTCCGTCCCATAATTATTGTCCACTTTGAGTTTTTATTTTTAGTTCAAATTGGACTAAAAATGAAATTTCAAATTGGACAATAATTTTGGGACCGATAGAATACTAAGAAATTCGACTGTTTTTCTGAATAGTGGGAAGTAAATTGTTTGCGAAAAAAATATGACCATTTCTCATTTTCTGACTGGCTAAAATCAACAAAGGAATCGAATCTTGGATGCTAGACTGTCCATGCAGTTGTTCATCTCTTACCCAATTTGTTTATTAGTAAAAACAGGGGTCAAATTTTCTTGCATCATGGGTTTTCTTCACCAACTGATAATTATTGACTTTGCATATGGGGAGTGGATGTAAGCAGATTGGCTTTTTTATTTGGTTACCTTTTTTTATTTTCAAAGACAATACGTTTCTATGTCAACAGAGATAATATGTTATAAATTCGTCATGGTAAGGGAGATTGTATTACTGTATATATAATTGAAAAAATTTGGATGAGGGATAGTGGAAGATAAATAATTAATAAAGAGAGCAGTACTTTCAAATAATTTGTATTCAGAGCACAACAATTCAACCATATAAGCATAATTTTAACTTTATTTAAAAAACGAAAAACTATTAATTGTATCAATTTAAATACTTTGAAAGTTTATTTAATTTTTTTTTTGTAAGCCTAATTGATATAACAATATGAAAGTAATTATTGACAAAAAAAAAGTCTTACCTATACAAAAGTTATGATATTATTAAATTTAAAATTTTCATTGATACAAGATAAATTTAATTAGTTTAACTCTTGTAAAATGGGTTGTACGGCTCATTTAAGTGCGAAAAATAATTTGTATAATTTCGATTCAATGCATGTGAAGGGAAAAACGGTTTATTTATAAAAATTAAAATTATATGGGAAAAAAATAAAATTTCCGATTAGAAATTAGGATATCAACCTTTATTTTCAAAGTCAACATATTTATATTATATTTCATCATGTAATATATTAATTTTTCCATATTAATTTTAAAATATTATCATTTACACTCATTGGAAATAGATTTTAATTTATGTGTTAAAAAAATCAAATGAAAAAAAAAAGATTTTTTTTCAAGAGTTAGAGTCATGTTTGTATCATTGAACTATTATGTCCTTACTACAAATTATTCAAGAATACTCTACTCTTTATTAATTATTTATTATCTACTGTCCATAATCCAAATTTTTCCTATATAATTAACTTAAACAGGTTTTGAGTTGCGAGTATGATCACGGATAGATAATTGCTCGAACAAAGTCTAACTGAATTTGAATGAAAATTAATTTAAATATAGTATGTACCCTCATTACCCATTTAACAACAATGTTTTATCATATTATCTTTGACAATTTATTTTACTGATATTTTGCAATGGGCATAAAGCAACCTTAAATGATTTGGCCAGGTATTCCATCCATTTAGGTGCCTATAATTTAGCGAGAGAGATTAGTCACTGTTGCCGACGGTGGACACTCTGCGAATATGCAAAAAGACACTCTCATTTGACAATTCATTTTCTCATAAGAAAGTCTCGTAAAAATGTTATTTGTTTATTTTTATAAATATCGAGTGGCGCATGGACCTGATAGTAATATTTCATCTTTTTTTTTTCCAAAATGGTCCATAAAATTCCAGAAGAGAAAAAGTAAAATCATTTACCATTTAGTTGAAAACTTGTAAGAAAACTTTAATGATGTCAAAATCCAATCAAAACAACAAATGGACGCGCAGATAAACAATATTTGGACCACCGAAAATAGTTTTGGAGCTTTGTATAAAAGAAAGTCCATAAATACGGAGTACATTAGACATGTATTTGTTGCGTAGCATTTGGCTTCATTGTTCGAGTGGGTGATCCAGAAAAAACTTGAGTGAGTCCCCTTTACCTGCGAAGAAAATGTGCTAGGTTTTCTGATCAAACTACATCATGAACATGGACAAGATATGTTGTGGTTCAGACTTCAGACAATTGCACTATCAAAAAAAGGCAAAAAAGGTAACGAGTATTTGATGTTACTCTCAAAATAATTCAATCCCTGAGATGATTATGTGTTTGCCTACGTGTATATGCAACGAATTTTTGCAGCTCTGTTTTTTCCAGTACTTATTGTTCTTTTGCCTCTTGTGAGATCTTTGTGGAGTTTGTGACATTCGTAACACGAATATTTACCATCTCCGTCTCAAAATAATTATACAGGTTGTTATAACGAAATAGAAAAGGAGAAAGAAAAAAAGTCTTGGCTTGAAGCTTCATTTTCTTTGGTGTTGCATTCTGTATAAAATACTATCAAATCAATCAGATGGAAAGACGGTGAAGCTTTAACAAGATTTTAATTAGTCCAGCTTATAAAAGATAAAAGACACTACCTATTTAATTAATTAATTAGGTAGACCTTTTTTACCTTCTCTCTTATTTGGCTGATTAATGACCATATGTGCCAATGTTAGAAATCTGCAGCATCTTTGTTTAAAGAGGGAAAAGCTATTAATTTAGAAAAAGGCAAAGAAAAGCTCACTTTTCTTTCTTCTGGAATCTGGATTTAGTGTCTTCGGGAAAGGGACTTGTGGAAGAATAACGCTCCAACACTCATTAGCACTGTTTCCTTTGTGTGATTGATATTCCGAACCAAAATCATAGCAATTCAAATTTTAGGTTGGATGATCCGGATTTTCGGTTTATGCGTTAATTTAGATTTTTGTTCGTATTATCGATCAAATTGAAAGACGAACTAGCCCAAAAAAATGAAAAAGAAATTCTATAGCTTCCAACAGTTTTCAAAGGGCAATGGATACTTTTTGACATGTTGCTTTTTGGGTCATTTTGACGGGCTGTTAAGTGTTTATTAACGAGCAAAAAAGGGTGAAAAATTGATGATATGACCAGTGGGTCTAATACAAACTGATGATGATGTCCTGAATAGTGAATACCCCCATTTGAGTGTACTAATCTTTGACCAAACATTGAAGAATAAACACAAATTTCTGTGAGAAAAAAGTGATGGGATGACAGCAACATACTTGTTTCGATAATGACCCTGATTTTCCAGGCCACAGCTCATGTTTCAAGTACTTCAATATAGCTTTCATTGAGCAGCAGTAGTAGGAAGAGGGCACCCCACGAGGTTTTCTATCTTCTTTACATGTTAATACAAATGTCAATCTGTAACACGAAATTATGTGTTAATAACACCAATGAAAACGAAATGAAGGAAAGGCTGATGGAGAAAGGGCATAGAGATTAGAAAGAAAATGCATTGATTTGGTTCGTTTTGCAACAAAGAAAAAAACACACAAAAGGCGAATTCATCAAGTCTTCCTTGTCTGTCCCATTAAACGAAATCCAAGTTTTCCTTTTTATCCACAATTTTACTTGTTTTTACTAATGTTCTCCATTATCCTTGTGGGTCAGCTAGGAAAGATGCCGGTACTCATAGGACTGGAAATTTATTAGGTCATTTATGGTTTCAATTAGTAGGGCCAAAATACAGTGCTAAACTACATACAAAGGTTAGGTTGAGTACCGTTTTAAATAATTTTCTCTGAAAAATTAGTAAAACAGTTTATAACAAGATACTCCCTCCATTTCAAAATGTGGTTGTTTTAGATTGGAGAAATATTTCAAAATATAAATCGTTTTAAGTTTTCAAGACAAATTAAAGATTAACTTTCCAATGTTGTCCCGAATAACCAATTTTCATATAATTTTGGTTATAGTTCCAAAACAATTAATGAAGGACAAAATAAACATTTAACACGCAAATTAATTAGTAAATGATTGTCTCTTTAATTTATGTGTAGAGGCTAAGAAGACCTATATTTTAAAATGGAGTGAGTAATTAGTAACACCAAGGTTTGTACTAGTGTTCTTGAACAGCAGTTGAATAGATCCAGTTTTATTTCTAGATAGGATTTAATATTAATTGAAGCCAACGTTATCACTCATTAGCATATGGAGATAGATTTGAGACCAACTTTTATTAAGCATCCATACTAGAAAAAGCTAAGTTACATAAAGCTAAACTGAGATATGTTGGTGCACGTGGTTTGTTTGCTTGCTTAATTCCTTGATTAAAAAGTTAAAAACTTAAAAAGGGATGTTTGCCTTTTTAGTGAGCAAGATTAGAGTAATAGTTTTAGACCAGAAATACAGGCGTAAGACCAGTTCATCACTAAAGACATAAGAATGTGCGATTTAAGACTTAAGAGTTAAGAGGAAGAGAATACTAGCTTTGATCATCAATTCAGATCCCTTTTGGTTTGGGCCTTTAGCCTCGATAATTGAAGTCGGACTTTCTTACTTCCTTGTTAACAAGACGACATTTCTTCGTCAATAATCAATTTGAGACATAACCCAAACACCTTTTTAGCTTTTTCCCCCTTTGTCCATTTTGTCCATACTTCCTCACTGTACTATGTGGGTACCTAAAAGTCTGAGTAGCTAACACGAGCAAAATATAAGTTTGTTTCTCCTTAAAAACAAGAAAGAAAAGGCAATGTGTTCCACTGTTTCATTCGTTGTTTCAACAAAGAAATGCAATTTGAGGTCAGAAATGCAATTTGTTTCATTCTTCATTCTCCCCAGTTTGATAACATTTTTTGTGCAGGTTTTCTGTCACGGGTTTTGAAGGAACGTGCAGATGTTGGAGAGTTGTACGTAATAGATTTAAGCACAGAAACTAATCGAATTATTAACCATTCTGTGCAGAAATTTTACTGATTCCAATGCTATTGTTATCAATTGGTTAATCATAAGTTTCTGGAGGTGTACCCAGAAGCTGTGACGATTGTTGAATCTTGAGAAAGAGTTCACAACAAAAAGACACGAAGGTTGAGGTTACCATAATTGTCGTTTCTGAACTACTCTTTTTTTGTGAACTGTTTAATTAACTAACTGGGCGGTGTTTGTGTAAGAGATTCGATGACGTAATGAGTACTCTGTGTAACACAAATTTACTACCTCATTGGAGGATTAAAGAATACTACTCCTTCCATCCAACAAAATAATCCAGTTTAATAAAAAAGTTTGTCCTTAAAAAAATAGTTCAGTTTCACAAAAGTCAAAATTAATTGAATTGAAATGACTTAAATATCTAAAATAATAGTGGTAAGGAAAATTTTTTTTAGTTTTCTCTTATGTTTTCAAATGATTATATCGTTTAATACATGAATAATTAAAAAATGTGTTATATATCAAATTAATCTACGTAATTTTCATCAAGATCCATTGTCAATTTTTTTTGAGATAAAAATTTTGATTAAATTTAAGTTGTATAATAAATACATATGTAGTTAACTTTTATAGAAATAATTAGAAGAGGCATTAGTAAAAGTTAGGCATAAAATGAGTTACACATTTGATATATTGACCAAATTAAAATATATTTTCAGATTGAAGTATTTTTTTGGGACGGAGGAAGTAATAAACCACAGGAGTACCCACAGTACAGTACTTTTCTGTACCCTGTAATAATGGAACCAGAAGTGGAATAGTGGATAACTCATGACTTTTAAGATTCCAGATTTGACTAGTCCATTTTTTGTGCATCGGGGACTGTGGTATGACGTTCCATTTACGCCACCCACTTAATCAAATACAAATGCAGGTTATTGTGTTGAACTGTGTTAGATTATCAGATTCCATTAATCCATTTGAACGAATCGAATCAAAATTATTGATCAAACTTATATACAAATAATTTTATTAGTCCAGCAAAGAAAATCCAGTTTTGATCTGGGCAACTGCATTTTTTTTGTATATTACAATATCTTACAACATTGTTAACTGAAGACGAAGATAAAATGTCTGGTTGCTGTATAATTTGATGGATAACGTGAATTTCACATGAAACACAACCGTAATCTCACAATTACAACAAGTAAAAAGCCCAGAAACAGAGTCTACTAATTGGAATAACAACGCTACCATATTACCAGCCTACCGCCTCTTCCTAGCAAAAGTAAATCTTGATGGACTAAAGGGAGTTAAATCAACAATGCTAGATTGACCATCAAGCACAAGTTCAGCCACCGCAGCACCGGTGGCCGGACCATTAAGGATTCCCCAACAACTATGTCCAGTTGCCACGAAACACCCATTCACGCCGGGTACTTCTCCGATCACAGGGATCCCATCATCGGTGGACGGCAAAAAACATGCTTGCTCTGCTTTTACTCTCGCACCACCTTCTTCTTCACTTAAATAACTTGACACATTTTTGGCCACCGTTTTCAGCACGCTAATTGAATCAGCCACCGGTTCTATACTTTCCGGATCATCTGGAACCTCATCCTCAGCTGACATTCCACAAATATACACTTCCCCTGTTTACATAAAAGCACCAAAAATCACAAATTTTGCTGCGAAACAATTCTTGAAGAAACAATTGAACAACTAAAATGGTGGAAAACGATTTAACCTGTTGGGCGTGGATAGACTTCAGGGTCCAAAGGTTTCCCACCTTGGGCTGGAAGGTAGCTCAGAAACAGAGCATGCGGGGTGATTGCATCTGGATCATTGGGCTCTAAAACAATACTATGGGCCTTAGTCCCATAAACTCTAAAAACCGATGATAACAGAGGCAATTTACTTGTCCACGGACCAAGAGCTAGAACAACGGCGTCCGCCTCAAGCGTTCTTCCTCCCTCCAGCACCACCGCGTTGGCTTTCCCTTCCGCCACCTGCACCGCCTCCAGCTTCCCTATCACCACCGTGAGATCATAATCTTGGACGGCCTTGTTCAGAAGCGTTCTGGTGAACAGCTGAGGATGAACTTGGGCCGTCGTCTGTGTTGTCCCAATGGTGCGTGGGGTCTTAGCAGGGCCATTAACCCAAGAAGGAAGTTTTGGGCCTGGACTTTTATGAGATGGGCCTGACGAAGAAGTTGGTTCAGAAACGGTGAGACTGAGAGTGGTGAGAGGACGGTAGCCGTAGGATTGGGAGCCGTTGAGTTCCTCAGAGAGTCGCCGGTGGAGATTGAAGCTGGCGCGTGCGAGGGAGGAGAGTGGTCCGCCGTCGCACCAATCAAGTGCTAGGAATCCTCCCGCTTTTCCCGAGGCAGCACAGGCTATGGATGATTTCTCGACGAGGGTGACTGAGGCTCCTTTTTGGGATAAGAAATAGGCGGTGCAAACTCCGATGACACCGCCGCCGCAAACCACCACGCGTTTGGGGTGTTGTTGGGAGGCGTCCATGGAGTGGGTTGATGACGTGGATGATCGTATCCCGAAGAGTGTCGATGATTTTAGGCGTCGGGAGTTTGTTGTGCTACACGAATGATGGCTAGGTGCTAACGTCACCAACATTTCTTTAAATGAAATACGTGTAAATGATTGACTCTGGAAGTCACCAAAAAGGTCTGTAGCTGAAAAATGGTACCTTCACTAGGTTCTCTCGACAGTCTTCGCACAAACACACATTGTGTTTCATAATAAATCGAACATACAATTCCATCTGTGTCTCAAAAAATTATAATCCACATTAAGTTTTAACCGAGTATTTTGTGTTCATATGTGTAATGTAACATTTGTTTACAAAAATAAACAAATAAAAAAAATACTCGTATTGTTGTCTAATGAATGGCAAAATATATATTAAATGTGAACATGCATTAAATAAGGAATACTATTAAGTATAGTACTTTAATTTTGACGTAAACCTATTTATTATATATTTATAAATATCAAAATGTTATGAAATAATTATAATGCTTAAAAGGAGAGAGAAGGTGATTAATACCTTTGAAAGAATAAATAGGGTAAGAAGCAAAGTAGGAGGAAATTTGCTCATGTATATTTTTGGTGCAATTTTACCACTACATAAGCCTCCTATTTATAGCCATCACCTAATGTCAATTTTATAAATATGTAATAAGTAGGTTTAAATCAAAATCAAAGTATTATACTTAATAATACTCCTTACTTAATGCATGCTCACATTTATAATATATTTTGCCATTCATTTTGCAACAAAACAATAATAAAATCGGTCTTTTAATTGATTGTTCTTCCATTTCACAATTTCTTTTGATATAACTAAAATTATTATAATAGAATTAACAGGGAGAAAAACCATTGCAACAAAGAGAGCTAAGAATTCATCCGCACCAACTCTGCCAATTGTGTGCATCTTGGAAGCTGCATAGATCATACCATACTTAAAAAAAAAAAAGAAGCAGAGAAATGTGAGCAAAAGTTAGGACCGATTGATTTTATTTCAACTGCTCTGCATCGTCTTCTTTCCCAATCATCCATGGCGGACCTCCGTTTTTTCATAAACAGGAAAATGAATTAAATGGACCTAGAATGTATGTAATTACCAAATAATTCGGTATCATAGCTAATCACAAGCAAAAGGCCGCCACTCTCTCCTCCAAGAAGGATTCTGATTTGAAATCCCAAACTGTGTTTCCTTCCGATTCTGAGTTTAAATCCAATAAATCATCGTCAGCTATGGTGAGTCGTATCGAGGAACTGGTGGAAAATCTGTTTCGAGAATCATTCCAAAAGACGTTTCCAGACGAGGTAGATGTAGTCATTGCTGTTTTTACTTGTATATTGGCTGCACATCGCATACCCGGCCATTATCGGTGCCTCGATGCCTTGAGCATTTTTGAAAGGGTTAAGGAAGCCGGAAAGATGCCGGAATTTAGCAACCCAATGCATGTCTGTAGTAGAGCCCGGAACTGTGGATGTTGTGTTATCAGGGCAATGTGTTGGGAAGAGGATTCATGAGATGCTGCTAAATGGTATCGAATCATGGGCAACAAAGCTGTTTGTCAAAAGGGCTGTTGTCGAGTTTTGGTCTCCAATCATAGTAACAGAGCTGGATATTAGGCACCTAAGATCCATTGTCATCGGAGATACACTAGCTCGTTTGCTGGAATTCTGCAATGTGGAAGTTCTAAGGAGGAGCAATGTAGGTGATTGGGAAAAACAATTGGGCTTGCTTTTTGAAAATCTGTATGAAAAATATCCCAACAATTGAGAAGCAGGGGATTTTACAGAGAGGGTCAAGAAAGTTGTGGCTAAACTTCGACGAGGGGATGAAAAATACAGGAAAGTTTGGGCACATATTTGCAAAACTAATCGGAAGGGATATGAAAAAATTTACAAGCGACTTGGTATCCTCTTGGAGGAGGATGGAGAAAGCTTTCGATTCGATAACCCGTGTATTCCCAAAGTGGATCTTTTTAGTAACCTGATTGTTGAAGATAAGGGCGAACGAGTTATCTTTTCGAAGGCCACAATAAGCTAGTTGTGGCGAAAAGCGACGGAGGATACGGCTATAGTTCAACAGATCTTGCTGCATTGTGGTATAGGCTTAAGCAAGAAAAAGCAGAATGGATTATACACGTTGTTGATTTTGCTTAGAAGGATCATTTCGAAAATCGAAAATGTCTTCTCTGTTGCGAGAAGTGTTGGTTGGCTCCCTCCTTCAAGTGAAGATAAGTACCCTAAAGTCAACATTGCTACGTTTGGTGACGGAAGCAAATTCAGAAAGAGAAGCAATGAAGTTGGCAAAGTAATTGATTTAATAGAAGGAGCAAAAACCCGATGCAAGGGTGCAATGGGTTGGAATTTAGATGAACTCGAACTCGAACAAACTGCGGAAGCTGTTGGATACGGAGCTGTCAAATATGATAATCTGATGCACAACAGGTCGAAAAGAGTACACATTGAACAATGACCTGATGCTCCGTGACAAGGGAAACATTGTCGTGCGTTCATTGTACGCGCACTCTAGGGCCTGTCCAGTTATCAGGGAATCCGGTAAGGACATTGAAGAAGTTAAAAGAGTTGGGACGACAATGGTTTTGGATCATCCCGATGAGCAGGTTTTAGGGCTTCATTTGGCGCGATTTCCGGAGATGATAGAAGGTATGTGTACGAAAATGCAGCCGAGTCATTTATGCGATTTATCTTTTCCACTTGGCGGAATTCTTCTATAGTTTCAACGGGAACTGTCTCCGGGTTGGTGGTGTAGTAGAGGAGTCGAGTAGACTCTTGTTGTGCGAGCAACCCGGGTAGTTATGAGAAAGTGCTTCCATCTGTTAGGCGTTACACCGGTTGACAATTGATGTTTTTCGGTTAGTAGGAATGGATTACTCCCCTGTACGATTTGTGTTATTTGGATCACCTTGCTTGACTAGCTAGCCATTTGAAGCTTTGAACAATCCTTCCTTAATTTGGTATTAAAAGTCCAGGGTGCATTTTGATTGAAAGGCAGGCAGCCCTTGAAAATTGAAACCTATGTGTAGTGCTTTTGCCCTTTTACTTTCCGTGAATGATGTTTTCATTCTGCAGTAGAAGTATGCAGATAACATTTGGGGGTGATAGTCATGAATTGGTTATGATACCCTAGAACACTGGAACCTACCAAATGAAGCGTTTTTGAAGTGTTGGAGTAACGCCCCAACTAAAACCCTCGAATTGAACATGTACATTTTCCACATTAAACACAATGGGATCTTAAAAATTTGCTGGTTCCGATCAGAAATCATGCTGGACCAATGTATAGAACAAACCGCAATGAATTAATTACTGTCAACTCCCGATGGGCTGGTGTAGAATGGCCAATGACTTCTTGTATTGTACATAAAGCCATAGCCAATTTATGTTTCAATTTGCACCTGCAGTTCTGGTCTCAAAACCTTAAAATGGACGGCCTAAGGCTTATTAGTACTGGAGTTTGAGCCCAAACCAAATCACAAGTGGTATTTCTGTAATAAGAATCATGAAAACTCTTTGCAGAATTATGCGGTTGGATTTGCTTGACATTGTGCAATGTTCCAAGAATTTTTCAACGAGGATTTCATTGGATATCCACATTTCTAACAATTTTTAAGCTTGTAAATGCATAAATTATAATCTTTTGGATGAAAATAGAAAACAACACACGCACACGCATGAATAAAAATAATAGCTTTATTTATTTTAGACTTACACATTAAATATATAAAATTTAGTCATTTTACGCATTCAAAATGAAAAACAAAATAATAATAATAATAATAATAATAATAAGTCACTCTCAATCCATGACTCTAGGGCTAGGATTCAAAATACACCATCAGTTGTTCTTGACCTATTTTCCACTAAAATAGTGACTCAAACAAAACTGTGCGCTTGCCATCTTTTCAAAAGCAAAGGTGCTTTAATCCTCCGCATATTTTGAAAAAGAGAAAAAACAGAAACTCCAAAAATATTACAAAAAGGTGAAAACGAACCAAAAATAATGAAACCAAAACAAAATGTCAAACTGTAGTGAACTACTTGAGCACCCGTCGCAATACAGAAAACAAAAGTCACCAATAAAAATGAAAGCAAAGCAAAGCATATTCCTCCAGCTTCCAAGTCACGCTCACTTTCCCATCATTATTGATGATCATAATCATATTTGCAACTCCCAAACCAAAAGGGTTAAAATAAAAATAAAATAAATAATGAGTGGGAAATGACCTGTTTAATTATGTTCTTATGGATAGACATTCTCTCATAAACTCAAAGCTACTTCCCACATTTTCCTTATATTAAATTCTTCCATAAAAGCAAAGCCTCCATTTGTTTCTAATTGGAGCCTTTTGGATTGGAGGGGTCGTTCACTCAAGAGTACACATCAGTTTCTTTTTTTAATTATTATTTTTTTTTAAAAAAAAAAGAAGCTTTTTTAAGTAGTTGTTGTTGCCATGTATGCGGAACTCTTTAGGCTTACCAACAAATTCCCTCAGCCTATTAGGCCACCAACTAGCAAATTCTAATCCATTTTTATATGCATTATATCTTTTCTTGCATCAAATTGGGGTTTGGCAGATGATATGCTTTTGTCATAAACAACTTGATCATGATTAAAGAGGGAAAAAAAACCCAATTAGCAACTAGTGCTTGCCAATTCAACAGCATAACTTAGGTGCCCTAATCTGACTCTCCAATTAGTTATAACTATAGCTAGCTAGGCTCAAAGCATCTCTTTCTTTCAATCCTGTGGTTAACTTGTCTATCAAATAGTACGGGATCCCTTTGACAATAATGTACAAAATAACAGGTTTACAGATACATAAATGTTTACGTGTTCAAGTAGAGATCATAACTAATTAATCTTTGTAGTATCTTATCACACCATATAAGATATAATAAAATAAATATTTATTAAAAAAAAACGTAATCTGCTTGTTGTAGTTAACCACTAATGCAAAAACATTAGTATAACAAAATGAGGATCACAGAAGTACATTTCCATGAGTGCTACAGGGACCCGTGGAAGGGATGTTACTAGTTTGCCAAAGTTAGCTTCACATTCACAATTTGGAATTTGTGTTAACCAACGTCCCACATTGATAAAAATAACGGTCCACCATTTGTCACACAGAGGCCACCTTATCTCCAAACTTCCAAACTACTATACAAGTCAATCATAATAATAAGTGGTTGAATTAAGGTGGGTTCCCTTAAATTATTAGGAAAAAAAAAGGTAGTAAGACAACAATGTGTTAAATATGTTTGGACAGTTGCCAATCAAAGTCATCAACTTTTTTCCACTGCCAAAACTTGTCCAAAATTAATCGACATTCGACAGTAGAATCGTCCTGCTAGATTATATCGGAAGAAAAGAAAAGCTGCTTTTTTATGGGAGCTTATTCTCAACTTTGGTGGGGCTAAATTCAATTGAAAGCCAAATCGGCAAAATATCACTATGGATTTGTCTGATCGTTTCTGTACGACTTGGTTGGTTCATTGAATTTCTTTGGGTGCTTTCTGTAACGATTGGACAGCATGTAACAAATGAAAAAATGTAAAGGGAATCGGAGTAAAAGTTTGTCATTTCTGAGGTTAATAAGGTGATTTGTATAGTGAACACTATGTCTATCATAATTCTTAGTAACTCAACCGAAATAACAATAAATTAAACTGTTTGAATTTAGTGACTTTATTTTAATGAAACAATGATGTTCTGTTTCTGTTATACAAAAGTTTGCTAGAACTCTCTCTCAACTCCTAAAATACACGTAGCATCCCTAATCGATTCCCTATTGATTAAAGCAAGGTTAAAAATAACGCGGAAGGAGCGTCTCTTGGCACTACTTAATTGGGGTTGGCAAATTTTTGGTTAGTTAAGCCAATAATGATGTTTAGTCTAAAGGGTTCCAGGCTAAAAATTTACACAAAAATGTTTGCGGGGAGTCTTTGACTTTTTTCTTTGGGGGAAGATTAAACACTAGAACATAACGAACCTTGATTACAGAATATCATAAGTTCCATGTATATCAATCCATTCCTACAAAATAATTTCAGTCTTAAGCATACCTTTTTTTTTTTTTAAAACCAACTTTCATGTATAACCAGGAAACAGTACATTACGTTAATTGAGGCACGCTCTAACTATCCTATGCGGGCCTTCCACTAATTCCCTAAGAACTTTAATTATATTTCCTCCACTAATCTGGGATAACAAAGAACGAAATTCACCCACAAGAGTGGATAGATGCATAGGACAATCTTTTTTCCCTCCAATGAAATCGACCAAATTCTGGCAATCGGACTGTACCTGGCAATCTGACAGACTTAACATGATTGCAGTTCGAAGGCCCCCTAACAAGCCCGGCCTTCAGCATCCTCCACAAATCCGGCGTAAAAGGTCGTTGACCCCGAAATGATAAAACGCCCTTGACTTGATAAAATATCCCATGCAACCGTGCCCTTGTGCCCCTATTATCATCCTTGTGGAAAGCTCCATCAGTGCGGATGTAATACTGGCCCCTAATTGTGGCGACAAACCGACGATTGGCGGAATCATAAGTCTCCTTAGGATCACGATCCGAAGGTGGTGCCCCCCTCCCCCCATGTCCACCAGTCGGAGCACCACAGAAAGAGGACCATTCCATCATGGCCAACCTCTGTATAGCAATGGGATTCTGAACCTCTTTGTCCTATAGCACCTTGTTCTTGGAAATCCAGATATTCCATAGGATGAAAAATAACTGTTGTATAGTCACTTTGTCCGGAGCTGAAAGAAGCCAATATTGTACCCATGATCCAACGGAATTGGTTCAGCCGATGAGAAATCAAAACCTAGTGGAGAGCTGCGCCAGATCCTTCTTGGGTGGTCGCAGTCCAGAAAAATATGTTGCGTGTTTTCTGGTGTCTTGCCACACCTGGAACATGTTAGGGAAGTGGTAATCCCTCGTTTGGACAATGCTGTTGCAGAGGGTAGGGCATGATTCGTCATCCACCAAAGGAGCCAGTGAATTTTGGCCGGCACATTAATAGACCAGAGGATCTTCCAAGCCTCCTCACTTATGTAGACTCTACTTGCTGAAGCCGAAGTAGTAAGATTGTGAGAACGTACCACATGATAGAAACTTTTGACTGAGTAGACGCCATTTGGTGTCTTTGACCAATAGAGACAATCTTTCGAACCTCTGGTCAATGACGGTATATAGATGGAGAGAATTTTATTAGCAGCTTCAACTGGAAAAAGGCTCCTAACCAGTGACTCCTGCCACTGTCCATTCTGGTCCCACAGGTCCTTGACTCTAAGATGTGAGATCTCATTGACCACCTGATGCTGCTGTTGAAGGTAACTGTATCCAGGATCCAATCGTCCCGCACTCAGACATTCTCACCAGACTTAACCTGTTATTTGAGGCCTAATTTTAGGAGATCCCTACCCCACAGAATGCTGCGCCAACC